CTTTAGAAGGTACCAACTCTGGTAACACCTTGATTTCAGACTGTCAGCTTCTAGAACTGGGATAAAATAAATTTATGTTGTTTTAAGCCACTTACTTTGTGTTATTTGTTATAGCAGCTACAAAAAACTAAGACACAAGGGTACAACAGGAGCAGACCAAAAGGCTGAATGATCCCACTCTGGCATTGTAGTTCCATCTGTAGCAACAGCATTAGCCATTGCATAATTCTAGGACAATGCTCCTTAGCCTTCTGAACCCAAGGCATGTTTTTTTTTTTTTTTTTAATTTCAATATAGTTATCATGGAGTATTACATTAGTTTTAGGTATATAGCACAGTGATTCAATAATTCTATATATCACTGATGCTCCTCAAGACAAGTGCCCTCCTTAATCCCCATCACCTATTTCACCCAGCCCCCTGCCCACCTCCCCTCTGGTAACCACCAGTTTATTCTCTATAGTTAAAAGTCTGTTTCTTGGTTCCTCTCTCTCTCTCTCTCTCTCTCTCTCTCTCTCTCTCTCCTCCTCGGCATGTTTTTTGTTTCTTAAATTCCACATATGGGTGAAATCATATGGCTAGAGAGTATGTTAAGCAAAATAAGTCAGTCAGAGAAAGACAAAAGCCAAACACAAACAGAGACTGGAGAATCAGTCTTCTGGAAGAGAGTTGAGCTGATACAGGAAGGATGTCAGCCCCTCTCATCTGAGCCTACTCTCATTCCTCCTGGGTATACACATGACTAAGGGGTTATGAAGGGGTTCTGGGGAGAAGCTGCCAATCTGTTTTCCATTTTAAAGAAAGAGCCCATGCTGGAGACTAAGGTCTTGTCTTGCTGGAGAAGAAAAATATGACTACATTCCAGAACAACGGAAGTAGTAGATGTCAAACATGCTCCTGGCACTTCTTAAAAAGTCATAGAATGCCTCAACCTGATGATTCCTCAAGATTTTATTAATTTATAATATTGTGTTCCATCAAGATCATCACTTTTTATTATCTTGCTGCTCTGAATTGTATCTTCCTTATTATTCTCAGCTACAGCGGCTATAAATTAAAATCATTCAGAATTTATACTCTTAACAGTTCATTATCTATGATTGGTATTATCTCACTGCCTTTTTCTGGTCTTTCTTTATCCCCTGACAAGAAATATTGCAATAGAGTCTAAATACCATCCAACCAATAAATGTTGAGTTTTAAAAATTCTCTACTGACTGCACTACCCTAAAGGGCACCCCATTACTCCTTATCCACAACCAGCATCCCTTCTGCCAAAGTGACAGAGAAAGGGAGATTCTAAAGATTTGGCTATTAGGACTGGGATAAAGGTCCTTGCTTTGGTGCTGTGAAAATCGGGTACATCATTTTTCTCCTCTTCATCTTCACCTCTTTCCCTGACAGTCAAGAGACATTAAGATACATCAGCTTGCTTCATGGGAAGCAACCATACTTCAGTGATCAGGTAGTGATATAATTAGTTGAATCAAAAAACAATGAGCGGCCCATTACTGGAAGTTCTGAATACCTCTCGGTGATACTCCAGAAGTGTGTCTACAATGGCCAGGAGGCTAGTCCCTTTCTCCTAAGACTGATCAAGTCTGTGTGAGTACATAGATGCCTCCATTAGACCCCAGGAAAAAGAAATACCCGTTTCTGACAGTGTTGAGATTCCTTCAAGTTATATTTGGATGTGTTTGTCCACTAAAGAACTTGACCAAGTGGACTGATGTATCTACAATGGCTTTTGTCACGGCTAGTCACATCATTGTCCTTAATGTTAGTAAGAGTGTTTTTCAGACAAATAGAAGTTGGCAATACTCAATAAAACATGTATATTCCAATCCTGACTGATTTAACTAATTGGAAAAGGTTTGTATTCAGTGCATGTACTGGCCTTTTATAAAAACATAAAGGCACAGATATATTTCTACACTCAGGAACACTTATTTCTTTCTTCCCTCCTCTTCTTCAATTTGTTTTTCTCCTATAACTCAGGGTAACATGCAGATGCCAGAGATCACAAGAAAGTGGATAAAGGAGGAGAAACAGGTCAGAGAGTGGCATTCCTATGGGCATTCCTCTACAACTTGCTTAAAAATTTAAAAAGCACCAACTTTCAAATTGATAAAGTCTGACTCCACAAACTCTGTGGACAATTGCTATTTGTCCGTATCTCCTAATCTCACTGAAGTGTGCTCACAATTCAACAGTCATCAAGTAAAAAACGCACAATGACCAAAATACATGTACTACCAGGATTGTTGGGGATTAGACTCCAGGGCCACCCCTATGGAGGCATGAAAGGGGGTTCACGCTGAGAGTATAACAAATTTAGCTATGGCTCAGAATTACTTGAGAAGCCTCTAAAAACATTATAAAAAACCCACAAAAAACCAGGGAGAGAGTCCCGTGAAAATTGAGGCTCTGATGAAATACTGCATTGCATCCACCAGATGGACAAAAATGACAAAGTCTGACAGTAGCAGGTACTGGTGAGGATGTAAAGTCCTGGGGAGGAATGCTAACACCTCACAGTGGGGTATAACTTAGTACGAGCAATTTGGAAAATAACTCGGCACTCTCTATTGAAATGGAAGCTGCACCCCATGACCCAGCAATTCCATTCCTACTCTCTGCTCTAGGAAAATTCTTGGACACGCACATGCACCAAGAGTCACGTACAAAATGCTTACCGTAGTGCTATTGGTAATAGCCAAACCACAGAAATGACCCAAATGTCTAAGGATGGTGGAAGAGATCAGTTGTGGTATTTTCATGCAGTGATTGAAAACCAAATGAACCACAGCTACATGCATCGACATTGACAAACCACAAAACAAGAGTATTATCTCATTTGTATAATAGGTTACAAACCTAATCGATACGTTGTTTGGGCTATATACATAAATGGTAAGGTCATAAGGAAAAGCAAATAAGTGATGGACACAAAATAGGATAGTGGTTACCTCTGAGGGAAAGGAAAGATTTGGGATCTAGGTGGGCGACAGAAGAGGTTGTAAAATGGACTGGCAAACGCTCAAATTCCTATGCTCAGTGTTGAGAACGCACATGTTGCTTTTACTGTAATTGTTAATCCATGTATATATGTTTTACTTTGCTGCACATGCTAGATTTTATGCTAAAATTTAAAAATACACAGATTTTCAGATTCTGTCTCAGATCTGTTGAATCAGTATCTCAGGCTGTGGAAACCAGGCAGCACTTTGTATAAGTTCTCCAGAGGAGTCAGATGCACTATAGGGTTAAGAGCCACTCACCTACACACAACACTCCCCACCCCTTGCCAATACACATCAGGATCCAGGTGAAAGCAGCTTAAAATATAAATCAAGGTCAAGCAATTTCAAAAGAGTCATAAAAACAAAATAAAAGGTCAGCCAGGGAGTGGATGAAGAAAGGAAAGTTCTCTCACAGTTCAGGGTCTGAGGCTGCTAGAGAAGCCTGAGGGCAATAGGCTTATTTCTGTGCCACCTCCAACCTCCCCCAGAAACTTAATTAAGCCAATTAGACTCACAGTACCATTAGCCTGAGATAACTGTCCCCCAAACCTGGGCCCAGGGCAGGCTTTCACCATAGCTTTTGCTGCAAAGACAGAAATATGATGTGGTAGAAAGTGTCCTTGTTTGGCACTCATCACAGCAGATATCTAGACCTGGTCCAGCACGTACATGCTCTGTGATCTTTAGCAAGTCACTTCCCCTCTCTGAGCCCTCCCTTTCTCATCTGCCCTGCCTCTCTCACAAAAATTGGAATCCCATGAGACTGTATGTGGAAGGGCTTTGGAAAATGAAAGTACTTCTCTGAATGGTTCAGTAAGTCCATTACATCAGTGGCTACTCCTTCCTACAAGTCAGAAACATAGGCTGTCAAATCTGAATAAGTAGAGTTTTCTGGGTCCAAGGAATGTGGAGCTCTAAGATTTGCCACAGTGAGACCTGAAGGCAGCACTAGGGCTTAGTGCCTCTGCATCTATCTCTAAGCACTCAGCAAATATTTAACAAACACCCACAACTTATCCAGAGCCTATCTTCTCCGGTCCCTTGCAATTCAGAAGGAGATGCTCATTAATAGCTCAGGACTACCGGAAACACCTTCCAAAGCTACAAAACAGCCTAAATATTCATTAATGGCTTTGAAACTAACATTTAACCAGTTATATAATAATTTCCAAATTAAAAATGCCAGATTTAGCAAATAAAAATGCAGGACACTCAATTACATTTGAATTTTTCTTTTTTTGTAAGTTTGTTTATTTTGAGACAGAGAGAGCACAGGAGAGGCAGAGAGAGGAGAGAGAATCCCCTGATGTGGTGCTTGAATTCATGAACCATGAGATCGTGACCTGAGCCAAAATCAAGAGTCAGATACTTAACCGACTGAGCCACTAGGTGCCTCTTAGCTTTTAAAATATAATTGGAAATTATAATAATTTTATTTATTTTTTTGTTATTTTTTAATAGTTTATTGTCAAGTTGGTTTCCATATAACACCCAGTGCTCATCCCCACAAGTGCCCTCCTCCATGCCCATCTCCCCCCTTCCCCTCCTCCCCACCCCCATCAGCCCTCAGTTTGTTCTCAGCATCCAAGAGTCTCTCATGGTATGTCCCAACTATGGCATGAGATATACTTACACTAAGAAACCATTTATTGCTCACCAGAAAACTCAAATTTAAGTGGGTGTCCTGTATTTTACCTGGCAACTCTATTCCCAATGGACAAACAGATCAGCACTTTCTCCTACATCAGTGTGAGAGTTATAAAATCCTATTTCCTTTACTTGGTAAGAGAGTGAAGCTTTATCCTGAAATTGGACTTGCATCCTATGGAAGGCACACATATTAAAAGCAGGTTTCAAAAGAAACAGGTTAGAGCAGGGCCAGGAAACCTCAAAACTGAAAACAGAAATAGACATTCAAGCCCTGTCCTGGCCCATCTGGGCAAGGTCTCTACCCTTTGTGGTGGCCTCTACCCTTACCTCTGGGCATCTCCTTGGAGTGCTCTGTCTCAGGCCCATCCAACAGGTCCATCTGGGAGGCCTCCTCAGAGGGCACACGGCGCCAGGACCAGCTCTGGTTCCCGAGGTCGTGGAGTGGCGGGGAGTACTCCAGCTCACAGGGGAAGTCAAAGCTGCACTCCAGACCTGCAATGACAGCCAAGGTCAGTGGAGCAAACTGTCTCCCAAAAGAAACCTTCCACGCCTCCACTCCAGGAAGGTGGCCTTCATCTCATCCACAGCCCTCATTCCTCCTGGGGTGACAGTCTGTCAGTTTCACAGCTCGCTTGGCTCCATATTGCTGTAAAGAGGACTAAGAGAGAAAACAGGTGTTCTTTAACTCAGATTAAAGGAAGTATCTTCAGAGAAGGCAGGTGAAAAAAGAGCTACCAGGTAGGACCCAAAGAAGCTCTACATCCTCTATATCCTCTAACCTTGAGGTTACCTGGTGACATGAAAGGGCCTGAGGCCAAGTGGCTGGAGCCTGGCTTTGCAACCAGATAAGTCTGAATCTAAGTCTGGCTCTGCCACTTAGCAGCTGGATTAACTTCACGCAAGAAAATTAGCCCCTGTGGCCTCAAATTTCCTCACCTGTACATTGGGGATGATAAATCTACCTCTAGAGTTTGCTGTAAGAGCCAGCACCATCATGCACTTTCTGTACATATGAGCCTGTCTACAGTGGATACTCGGGAAAAAATTCTCACCATGTTCCACCCTATTTGAGAAGAGAAGGCCAAAGGAACTCAGGCCTTTACTCACAGCCCTGTCTCCCAGCCCCAGATCTACTCTTTGCCCCCCTCCAGACAAAACGGCCAAGGTTATGACAGCTAGTCTGGGCTCATTCTCTCGTGGGGAGTGGGTACAGATGGTCACTGGGTAAGGAGAGAGAGAGAAGGGAAGCAGGAAGAGGCCATGCCTTGGGACTTTTTATGACCTTTAACAAGGTTTCTTGTGACCAAACCATTTCATATTTGCCCTAATTTTTTTAAAAAAAATTAATGTTTATTTATTTTGAGAGAGAGAGAAAGAGAGAGAGAGAGAGAGAGAGAGAGACAGATTGTAAGTGGGTGAGGGACAGAGAGAGAGGGAGACACAGAATCCAAAGCAGGCTCTGTCCAAGCTATCAGCACAGAGCTCGATGCGGGGCTCAAACTCACAAACTGTGAGATCATGACCTGACCCAAAGTAAGATGCTTAACCAACTGAGCCACCCAAGCACCCCAATGTTTGCCCTACTTTTGAGATATACTTACCTTCTCCTTCCCCTTCCTAACTCAATATGTATTCCCCAAGTACTTTGTACCTAGTAGGTTCTCAATGCTCACTGATGGATAAATGGAATGTGTGCCAAAGTGCAAATTATTCATCCACCTTTGACTTCATTGTCTTCCCTCAGCCATGGGGACACGAAGAAAGGGAGAATATGATATAAAGAACAGAATACTGTACTTGGTGTCCGGGCTTGGACAGTCTCGTCTCATGTGTGGTACTTGGTGCCCTCATCTGAAAGACATGGGTTTGGACCAGATGACTAGGGAAACAAATGCCCAGTGAGACCTGGGCTCCAATGCCAGCTCTGCCACCAATTTTGCCAGTGCTGTTGAACAAGACATTACACCCCTCTGGGCCTCAAGTTCCTCAAATACAAAATGAGACTTATATTAGATGTTTTCTAAAGTTCCTTCTTGATTTGGCTTTTTCAAGATTCCTAAGTCCTGTTCTCAGAAGGGTTATAGGGAATTTGATAAATCAATCTGTGTAGTGGTGCTAATGAGTGCTAACTCCCAATTATCATTGTGTATTTTAACAGCTGCTTCTTCAGGTACTGCTACCTTGAACTCCAAGATGAGTTTGGTGTTAAAAATTTCAGAATGCTGAGGAGATGGCAGTCAATTCTACAGCAGGCAGCTGATTATCACTGCACTGTCTCTTAGTCACACACACAGGCCACTAAGCCCTGTCCCAGAGTGGGAATAATATAATTCTTGATGACTTTAGCCAAACTAAGTTTAGGTGAGGGCTGGTGGAGGGGGGAAGAATCCTTCAATTACACTTCTATTAAGTATCTTTCTACTTCTCAGCCAGCAGAGATTTATGTACCAGCTGCTCTCCGGGAGCTGCCATCTTTTTGGTCCTAAGGTTAATACTACTCGACCCTTCACAATATAGACGATTCACCTTCATAATGGAGAGCTGAAATGGGCAGGACTATAGCCTTGTTTGAGTTGACATACCATCTGCTGCCTACATATTTATCAGCTTTAAAGACTTTCTACCTGCCTCTGGGGGCTGAGCTGCTGCTCTGTCCATGAATTGGTGTCCATGAATTGTAGACTGCCTTAATCTTCAACACTTACTTGCCAGCCACCTAGTTATGATTGCAGAATGCAAGGAGAAAGCTGGTCCAACATTGTGTATTTTGTAGCATAAAAATTATCTTTATAATGAAAAGTGTAGCCACTAATCTTGGATTTTCTGAAGAGGGTAAGAAAGATACTAACAAACCATACTAACAAACGATCCAGTCAAAAGATGGGAGAGAAAGGTACTGGCCATTCCCATCCCATACAGACAACGATTGGTGACTCTCCCAGAGCTTCCTCTTTTGTGGCCCATCCTCTATCTTGATTTTTCTTTTCCAGTTGAAGTCATTCTATTTCTATTTGGAACAAAGGGGTGGCATGCAAGGTCAGATACTGCCTGGTGCATATTAAACAAATAGACAACAGAATATACAATCCTAGCATCAAGCATCATCCGTCCTGGGATCTTTAACTCTGAAGAGTCAGAGAACTGGCTGTGTTTGGACCAAACTCTGCCTAGTGAAACAAGTTCAGCCCATGCTCCAATTATCAAATCGGTTCATTTTGAAATTCTTGCTCCAAGGCAGCCTCCCTTTAGCTGTCAAAGCTGCTTTGGCTTTAAACAGAAAAAAGGTTAACATTACTGTTCATTTTGGGTGAAACTGAATTGGCTTTTTCACATTCTAATTTAATTTCTCATAAAATATCAAGACAGGTTTCTTTCTCCCGCACTAGCCTCAGTGCCTTCCTAGGAATAACGCCTGGACTCGTTTCTAAAAACACCAGGATAAGGAACATTTTCCTTGGGTCTTTTCTAAAGTTGTAGACCTAGGGTGCTTCTTGTATCTCTCTCCCTAACCCTCCTCTGACCCAGTCCTGGTTGGATAGGGACTATACAGTATGTTTTACAGATAGGACTCAGAGGGATCAAGGGTTTCAGTGAAGTGTTTAGCCTTAAGCAATTCAATGGCAGAGGCAGGTCAACACCCAAGGGAAGGCTTGAGAAATAACATTCACTGAGTCCTAGCTGTCTACCAGAGACTATATGAAGTCTTTTTTTTATTTTTTCTGTGTCACTGTTTTTCTGATATCACTGTATTTAATCTACAGAAAAGCACTGAGAAGAGTAGATGGTATCGTCTCTCTACAGGTTAGGAAACAGAGGTTTAGAAAGTTTACTCTACTTGCCTAAAGATCAAAGGATCACCCTAAGGCAGAACTGGAATGTGACCTAGGGCTAGATAATGATGATTGAGATATTTTTCATCATACCTCCACAGTTTCAAAATCTCAATCCAGGGCCAACAGAGTAAATTAAATAATATATGAGAAACCTGGGAAGTGTTGTATTTTGGTTATTATTTGACCCAAAGTCTACAACTTCTTCATATCTGCAAAGGCTTGTCCTTTACCCTCAGGGAACAGATTTGTATTTCCTCTGTGTCAGGCCCATTTTGCAAAGCGACTGTGACCTTCAAAATATTCCAGAGATCTCAGGGCACCTAGGTGGCTCAGTCAGTTAGGCATCTGACTTGAGCTCAGCTCATGATCTCATGGTCCATGAGTTCAAGCCCTGCATTGGGTTCTGTATTAATAGCTCAGAGCCTGGAGCCTGCTTTGGATTCTGTGTCTCCCTCTCTCCCTCTGCCCCTCCTCTCTCTCAAAAATAAATAAACATTAAAAAATTTTCAAAACAATCCAGAGATCTCAAATTTATTTTACCTATCAGGACCCAGGAGAATCTAACCATCGAAAAATAGCAATGAGAAAAAGACATAATTTCCAGTACCTGGTGATCATTGCTACTCACTTTCATGTTACTTCCATTGTAACAAAAATACTAAAGTAATGGAATCTTCTGGAAACAGTTCCCCTGCTGAGATGGTGTCAAGTGCTGTGAAGGGAAAGGTCTTGGTAGAGAAGTGAGGATGGTTCCAGGCCTGGTCCTGCATAGAGCAGCTGAGAGACCTCAATAGGTTCACTCACCTCTCTATGCCTAGTTTTCTACCTTTGAAAAATGAAACAAATGGAGCACATACCTTCTACAGTGCCTTCCATCTCTGAAGGGTGGTGATTCTATAAGGCCCGCACAACCAAACCTACAGGCCATCAGTCACTCTCACTCTGCCTACCTCTAAGTGAGGGCTTGTTGTCATCCCTGGAAGCAGATTCCCCATGAAATGAGGCTGAAAGTGCATCTCACTCAATGAGAACTTGGTTTACTTCAAGATCCCCAGAGAATTAAGAAGAAAATCTCATGTTTTACAGTGACTGTTCTTGGGTGTGTAAGTGTGAATGTGAGTGTGTGTATGTGCATATGTATGATCTGAAGCCTTCCAGAGTATGAGTCACATCTCAAAAATTGAATTCATTGACAGTTGGCTTTAAGGCACTGTTGTAGTACAAAAGGCAGCCATTCAGAAGAATGGTACAGAAGTGGATCAGAAAACCCTGTGGTGGCCCTGCCCAGAGAGATGCCCAGTTCCCCTTTCAAATGCCCTCAGCTCTAGAGGAGTTGACAATGATCGCACACTGAGTGTGAGGGAGGAAATCTAGCCTCTAGAAGTGTGTGAGCCTACCCAAGCAGCCATGCCAAGGCCCATGCCTAGAAGACCACCTTGGCTAATCAGTAGAGATCCAGGCTGAGCTGCGTGAGGAGATTCCGTAAAGTTCCAGGCACCATCCACAACACCACATAAAGGTAGTCCCCTTGGGTGAGCTTAGAAAGTCCAACAGTCCTTTGTAGATTGACCCAAGTCTCCAAAACACTCCTTGGAATCAAGGCCTTTTCTGTTTCCTCGATCCTGACCCTGGAAACCCAGAGACCTCCCACTAGTTTCC